GCTATGAGAATATCATGACTGACTAGATCAAAGGCCTTACTTAGGTCCAGAAAAACTGTTCCCACCAGTTCACTATTGTCCATAGCCTTTAGTCATTTGTCAGAGATATTCAATAGTGCAGTTTCACAGGAATGATAAGGGCGGTAGGCAGACTGATTCTGGTTCCGGCCGGGACATTGTGTTGTGTTCTTAGGCAAGACACTTTACTCTCACAGTGCCTCTCTTCACCCAGGTGTATAAATGGGTACCGGCAAATTTAATGCTGGGAGTAACCCTGTGATGGACTGGCATCCCATCCAGGGGGAGTAGAAATACTCCTAGTTGCTTCATGCTACAGAAACCAGAGTTAAGCACCGGCCTAATGGGCCACTAGGCTCGTAAACGGACTTTACCTTTACCCCTAACCCTGCAGGAGACGGGGCCTACAGTTTACTCGTCCTTATCCGAGAAGACTAGAATATCTATCCATTTCTTGATATTATAGAAAGGTAGCAAAGTCAGTTATTTTGAGACCGTGAGTATCGGTCTGGCCAGGGCTCAAACCCTCGACCTCCCACACAACACAATCTGGCGTTCTAACCAATTGAGCTAACAAGAAGGCAGTGCTATTAAAGAGTTAAAGCATCTATTTTGTAAATAATGGTGTAAATTATCAATCTATATCTAAATCACTATTATCATCCTCTTTTTTTGCTGTCACACTTGCTGTTAACTGGCATTCTAATTCTTCAGTTAAAATGTCATTTCTGAAAAAGGAAAATGAATACAAATTGTATCAAAGATAAACGTCTACATGATATCATAGAAATTTTTTTAAGCAACTCTTTTAGATGCTAGCTCTATGTTGAGGAAAGGCAGTTCCACTGGCATAGGATATTGGCATTTCTAAACAATGCTCATTTCTTATTTCTCGTCATAAAATATTTAAGTTGCTATGTGCACTCTCATTGGTTGAAGGATATGTTTAGAAATGAGTTTGTAAACACAGCTGTGACATCACACTTTTTGTACTTGGAGATGCACTGGCCTTTTACTTGACAGGATTGATTCTACATTTTAAATCTAAATATAAGATCTCTACAATGTCTTCCACACAAGTTTGCTTTAGTTGAAGAGTAGTTCTCTAGGTCATTTCAAGCTAAAGAAACTGGGATGAGCCCATAGCTGTGACGAGCCACTAAACTTGGAAGATTTACAGGTAGGTGCAATCTTCTCTAAGAAAGCAGCCAAGTTTGCATGCCATATTGGCACTTACTCAATTAAGAAGCTCTCCACATCAGAAGCAAAGAAGTCTTGTCCAAAGGTGTCTTCCAGCTTAACAAAATTGCCAATAGTTTGTCCACCTTTGTAAACAAGTAAAGCAGGGAGGCCTTCCTTTGTCTATGATGAAATGAGATTACAGCCAAAACAGGAAAATTTAATTACAGCTCTCCATAGGTAGTAACAGTTTGTAGAAACTGGCTGGCCAGGTTGCTAACTTTAAAAATGAATGGTGTCAAAACATGAATAAAATAATTTCTTGAGAAGTTTTCAATAATTTTGTAAACAGTCAATCAACATTGTATTAAAAATGTAGTTTTGAATTGACCTGTTCACAAAAATCTCAATAGTGACATTTTTTTAATGAATAGTCCATTTTACAGTTGTGTGCTTGGTTGCCAAGCCTTTGAATGGGAGTGAGGCAAGGGTTGACCTTGTTATGATACAAACCTTGCTGCCTTTCAATCGTAAATCACTTTGTTATCATGCTAAGTAGATACAGGTCTCTATCACAACAAGGTCACCTTCAGCCTCACTCTAAATCAAAGGCTTGGCAACTAAGTATACAAATGTAAAATGGCCTATTGTCTGTCCAGTCAGTTTGATGTACCGGTAATAGTAAGAGCCCATAGTTATCATCTTTAACCCGTCCAGTGTTCTCCTTTATTTTAATCATGACATGTTAAAAAGAATTTTCACACTGGTAGTCAAGAGAAATCCTTTTAACGTGTTGAATTTTCAAAACTTCCAAGCAACTTAAGTCTACAAAGGCAGTCCAAGACTGAGAGGATAAAATGTGACATAGAAGACAAATTGGTCCTTCATGAGGTCCAATTATCAACTTCCCAATATAAAAATATACAAGGTCATCACAGAAGTTTTAACTCACAAAGTTTCTGCTAATACCAGTTTCCCTAGCAATGATCTTGCAAAATTTCACCTAATTTGATTGTAAAAAACAGCAATTAGTACAGGGATCATAAATGCTGTGGATTTCGGCACCAAACAAATCCACAGAGAACCATCCCAATTTTAAGAGGAAATCTACTTGTAGAACTATAAATTAATATTTCTCACCAGGGAGTACTGCTGGGCTAAACATTGCAGACAGCCATTCATGGCTCTACAGCTTCGAAGATCCTTAAGAGTAAAAAAATGAATATCAAATGAATGAAAATGAAGAATTCAATATAATATCCATATTCAATAAAGATACTTCAGTTACTGTATGACTTTGATGAAAACATATTTATTTATTAATTTTAATTAACCCTTTGACTCCTAAAAGTGATTTACATGTAACTTCTCCTAATAATATTTATACATTACAGTGAACAGGTAATGAGAATACTCAAACTCAACAGTCAGACAAAAATTGTTTTGTTGATCTAGCACCAAATACTTGGAACTAATTTACAAGGAAATTTGTAGCAGGTGGAAGGGAGAATTGCTAATCAGATCTAGCAAATTAAAAGGGTTAAGAGTGATTAGGATCTATTTTCTCCTGAACATATTGCCCCGAATCAAACATCAATCAAGGCTCTGCTCTAGGAAAAATTGAAGGGAACCCAGCAATCTGAAACTGTGAAATCCAAGGTGCCCAGCATATGCTTTCTATGAAAAAGCTAAGATTCTTGAGTCGCCCAAGAGCAAAAGTGAGGCGCCAGGGGGCCACCAGGCACTGCTATCTAGACTACAGCCCTGATCAAGATCACAAGAATAAAGGAAATGATTGCAAACTCAACAAGCTCTTGCGATTTTTAGACAAAATCTCCTTGTAGGTACCACAGGAAATGGGAAGAGAACAGTATGGAGAATATGCATACTGATGACAGAGTGTAAAGGGTCAACCATTTAACTCCTATGAGTGACCAAGACAGAACTTCTCTTTAAAATTTCAATAAAATATAAAGCAGACAAGTGCTGAGAATAAAAGAAAAATATCACTTGGGGGATTATTAGTGGATTTATTAGAGACTTTAAGAAACCACGACGGCGACGCCAAGGAAGACTTCGATTAAAAAATGAATTTCTACTCTTAGTTAGAATTTCAAAAATGGTTGCAGGAGCTTACTGTCTCATACAGTGCAACAGCTCAACTTCAACATGATGTATAAAGTAGCCATTGAGTTCCAAATGGAAATTAAAATAATTTGCCGTCGTGGTTTCAGTTCGCAGACGACGTAAATTTTGGCAATTTCATGTTGTTGTTTTGCATAGGATGGCTAAGAAATGTACAAAGTTTCAAAACGCACATGCTGAGCTATTGTTCTGCCTATTAGATCTCTTGTTTTTCCACATCCTCGTTACCGTCGCCGTCGTGGTTTCTAAAAGTCCCTATTAGCAAATTCTCTGAACTAATGTCAAAAGAATTGTGTGATAGACAATAACGAGAATTTAGTAATTAGGTCTTAGGAGTGAACGGGGTTAAAATGATGTTACCTCACTGTAAAGATGAACCACAACAATCACATTTGGATTTTCTTTATCCACAGCATCAAGAAACTGATCTTTGTTTTCTAATGAAATTACTTTTCCAAATTTAGGACTGAAAAGAAAAAAGAAATCTTTTAATGGTTACAGAATCAAACCTTAATCTTCAACATCATACTGAAGGGGCATATGGCACCACATGTTATCTTCAGCATCAAATACTGAAGGGGCATACGGCACCACATGTTATCTTCAGCATAACATGTGTGAGCAGCATTGAGTTCCAAATGGACACATCTTTAATTTTTGGTTCTCAGACCATGCAAATTTTGGTGAATTTACTTTGTGTTTTGCATGTGCTAAACTATTGTTCTGCCCATTAGACCTTTTCCATGTCCTCATTGCCTTGTTGCCAACTGGCAGTTTGCTTAAGGTTCCAATTATTTGGGAGACACTGGTTTGAACCTTGCTGATACCTGAATTTTTCAAGCTTTAGTCAATGTTCACCAGTACGAATCATTTCTTTCTTTATTTTTCCTCTCACTGTATGAAAAAGGAAGTGTTTCAACCTGTTTAGCTGAAGTCTTCTCTCCTGTTCCTCTTTTAACTGAAGTAATCTTTGTAAGTGGTATTGTTGAATGAATTCATCCGTGTCAAGCTCTAGCTCCTTGAGAAGTTCTTTTTCTTTTTCATCATCAAGCTGTAAATAACAAAAAAAATATATTCATTGGCAAAATTGCTCATATTCAAGGATATGGTAGACATTCAAAAGCCAATTGTTTTTCAATTGTTTTTCACATCAAATCAAGCATTTAAAGTTTCTGAGAAAAAATTTTGTAAAATAATGAAATGTGCTGAAGTTATTTACAATAACCTTTCCACTGATTTAAAATTAATGATGGTTGGACCTTTATATAGTGTGTTGACCTTAGTGATCTTACAGCTATTCTTTTCTTTGAACTTTGGACAGCCTACTGTTGATGGCAAGCTGGAAATTACGCTAACTCAGAGTCAAGTGATGTGGGTTTGATCATAGGCAGTCCAAGAATACTGTGTGTGATAATCTTAATAAGTTTAATTTACTTAATATTTTCCTTAATGACCATTAGACCCCAAAATCACACACAGTACACTTGGGCTTTGGCTGCCTGATGTTTGAATCCTAACCAGACAATTATGTTGGGTCCTTGAGCAAAGCACCTGCCTCGCATGTTGCCTCTACCCACCCACCCCCCCTCCCAGGAATGTAAGTGAGTACTAACAAACTGTCACAGAAACTGGTGACAGTTTGTCAGTAGTTTCTCTGTCAGTAGTTTGTCAGTAGTTTCTCCCACTACCCCTTCTCCCTACCCCCTCCCCCTGGTGTTTCATAACCTATGAAACACTAGGGAGAGGGTGTAGGGAGAAGGGGTAGGGAGAAGGGCGTAGTGGGAAGGTAAATACAATGAACTAACTTCCTCTAATCCACAATCACTACTTCTGGACACTCTATGAGATGGAAACTAGTATAAGCAGCATTTTGTTTGGCTTTTGTTGTTGAAACTTGTTTACAGATTTATAAGTGAGCTCACATTAGGGTCACTGCATTTTGTTCTTATGTTGATGAGTGGATATTCACACAGGACCTTTCTGAACCAAGGAGTTAGGTGAAATACTAGGGTGGGGAGAGAGATGGAGGGGTTAACAGGCAATGACCTGTCACAGAAACCTGTCAAACACTAGGGGGAGGGGGTAGGGAGAAGGGGGTAGTGGGGGAGGTAAATACAATGAACTAACTTCCTCCAATCTGCAATCAAATACATGTGAAAACCTTATAAGATGGAAACTAGTGAAAGCAGCATTTTGTTTGGCTTTTGTTGTTGAAACTTATACCCAGATTTATTTCTAAGCTCACACTAGCTAGGATCACTGCATTTTGTTCTTATGCCAATTAGTGGATATTCATACAGGACCTCAGTCTCTGAACCTGGGAGTTAGCTGGAGAGTAGCAAATGAAAGGGTGTCCAGAAGAAAGCTTTAAATTAGCTAAGATGAAACATTCACTTCTCTCTCTATTTCAAAGGAAATATAAGACACTTTGAGAGGAGAATATATCAGTTCATCACCTTTTTTTTTTTTGATAATTTGATATTATTATATGATTGGACAACCTGACCAACATTTCATGAAATGGAAAACTTTTGACTCTTTCATCCCTAAGAATGACCAGCATCTAATTTCTCCTATCAATATCACCCCTGAACCACACATTAAGGTCAGGAGAATAAAGGAAATGATTACACACTCAAAAAGCTCTTGATTGTTTGACAAATCTCCCTTGTAAGCACCATAGGAAATGTATAAAGGGCAGTGTGGAGAACCTGAACACTGATATTAGGGTGTAAAGGTGTAATGACAAGCATTGAGCCAAGAGGCACTTTAGATATATCATATTGTTTATGGAGGGGGGTATTGTTGGGGTCTATTAGAAACCGAAAAACCACATGCAAAACTATCTAAACTGATAAATTTGCACATCTCCGTTGTCAAAATCCTAATTGATCTGATACTGTGGTTACAAGTGGAGGAACATATGTTTTGCAGTTATTAGAGATCAGCAGAGGCGTATAAATGCTGATCAGAAGAGAAACCCGTACCCCAAATGAATATAAAAAACTGAAAAAGCACATTAATTTTGATACCAAATCTGAGTACCCATCAAATATTTTGATGAAAACTGAAAACCAAATGCTAAAAACTGAAAATCCATAAAACGCAATAAACAACAAAACCGAAAAACTGACGTTTTTTTGCCACAAAAACCAAAACATCAATCTGAAAAAGAGCCAAAACCGCAAAACTGCAAACCCCAATGCCCTCACTCTTTATGTAAGGAAAACAACTTACACTGCTTTGGCAAGAGACAGAAAACTTCTGTGCCAATGCTGTAATTTCTTTCTCTTTTTCTTTCCGCTGTTCAGTCTCGAGTTGTTTATAACGACGATAGTCTTGAATGACTCCTTTAGGTCCTGTCTGGAGACTCAAAATCAATTATGAGTAAGTAGAAGATAAATACAAAAATAAAAATCATCAATTAAGGGAACCATTCTGGAAATGGCTTAAGCTTGCTTTTTAACACCCTAACAGATATACTCAGCAAATTAATTCAAACCAAATGACATTTGCCAAAGGCACATACAAACTGACATTGACTGGTTAAGACCTTATTAAATCATTATTGATTTTTTCAGCCGCCTAACTTAATAGCGCTTTGCAATGAGCAATGAGGTAAAACTTCAGACAATGGTTTAAACTGGAAAAACTGGACTGTTTACAAACATATTAATAAATCATTTTAGAGGATTTAAGATTCTGGCCTGCTGTGATGCTTCAGAAAAAATAATTATGTATTCTACTTGCTATTGATTTCTTTAATCCAAGAACTGTATAGATAATGAGTCATACAGAAATCTTACTGTTGTTGTCAATAAATTGGCGTATCAATTTATTTCAGCTATCCAACAAAACAATGCGATCAATTTGCACACTCGATCGCAAGAAAAAGATCGAGCCCTTCCCCTTCACAAGATCGTTAGTTGACGATGAAAGGAACTATCTCTTGCCTCATAAAAGGAAAACAGAAAGTATATATTGACAATTTTGGATTCGTCATCATAGATCTACCAAATCCCATGGTTAGCGATGTGAGGTGAGGAATTCGTAAATTTACGTTCCCCACCAATCAAACAGAAAATTAATTAATTAATTATTATTATGTTTTTAAATAGTTTCACCTTCGGAACTTCGAGTCGAAAATCCGGAGGAGCTGCTACGTTGCTTAGATCAATGTTATCGTCTCTAGGGTCTTCATCGCCTGAAATTTTGTAATCCTCATCTTCTCCTTCACTTTCAGAGCTCGATACGTAATTTTGGGTTTTTAACCCGAGAATTTTATCGTCCAAAGTTGTCATCTTCGAAAGTATTGAAGTGGATTTGAACTCGCGCACAACAGTCAGCGGTTAAGCGTCATTCGAGTTGAAAATGAGTGTAATAGTCACAATGCCTCGCATTTCATCTACCTCCACTTTCCTTTGTTGCACATATCATATCAGCTGATGCAGAATGCGTGTGATAAACTCGCCGATTACAGCTATGCTAGTTTAAGGAAAATAATTTTGCTGATTTAAAGATCCCTTAAACTTGAAATCGAAAGGCGAAATTTTGAAAATCCGAAGCAGAGAGCCATTAATTAAGGTAGAGAGCCGAAGTGAACTGTTTTCAAAAACTCTGTCAAAACTACTGAACTATTTGCGTTTACATCAGAAACAAAGGATGATAAATAAAAAAGTGAACTGAAACCGTTGTGAAATCACCTTTTCAAACTACGTGCTTTTTGTTTTTTGCCAATGGAGTGTATATTTCTAGATGGGAAATAAAATGCAAAAACCATATGGAAATTCTTTCGGAAGAAATGCTTCAAAGCACTGATTCCTCTTTCTTCTCTCCATTATGACTTTCATTTCCATTAGCAATTTTTCAAGCTAAGTTTGTTGTGGCAGACTTAAAGACCTACACAATTTTGGGCTGAAATCGACTCTACGCAAAAGAAAATTGAAAAAAAAAAAAGAAAACACGCGCTTGAATTTTCATTTCATTTCGTCGGAAGTAGCATTTATTTTAGCGGAAATCCTCATCGGTTTTTCACGGGCATTCATCCAGTTATTCCAGCCTTCGTTCAAAGCCTCTACGGGCGCGCCTCCACTGCTTGGCACAAACCTGTCAGTTACGCAACCTACCACCAGTAGGCTTCTAGAGAGTCCGGTAAAATGCTTCCGTTGTCCATAAGTACACCCTTCACCCACCAGAGTTCTATTTTGTTAATGATTCCTTACTCTAAAATGCGCACGGGGCTAAAGTGTGGAGAACAGAGTGACAGAAAGGATGAAAGGTCGTCTGTGCTCTCGCTTTCTCCCTTTCCAAAACGCTCCATGCAGGATGCAAACACAACGGTCAAACATTAGAGTGTATAAATGCAAAAGCTGTAGTAGCTCGCTTACCAGTCGTTTCGTACCCATGGATCTATCGTATCCAGACCATTCGTACTCAGGCTCAGACGTTTCGTACACACTTTCGATTACTTCGTACCTAACTCTAAGGTACTTCGTACCTAACTCGTATCGTACCCAACAAATTATGACACAAAATTTTTAAAAACATTTATTTCATTTATCCTAGTAGTCGCAAAAAAGCTAGTTTCTAATCACGGAAACATTAAAAAGTGACCTAGTTGACCCATCCTAATATATTATTCCTACTGCACGCAGCGCCTACGCTTAAACGTACCTATTCTACATAGTGAAAAAGCTAGTTTCTAAAGTCATAGTAACGTTGAAAAGTTATCTTACTCTTGAACAATCGTGACCTAGTTGCCCTAACTGACCTATATCCTAATATGTTTTCCCCATTATCACGGAGTGCCTATACGACTAAACGTACTTATTCTACTTAGTAAAAAATAAAAATCCTGGTCACGGTAGTAAATGCAAATAATGTCTAAGTTCAGTTCAGTGCATCACTGGTCTGTTTATATTGGCACATCCTTTGAGCAGCTGCCTCAGTGACCTCTCCTTCTTGTTGAAGGCATCCCAAAGTTCGAAGAGACGCCTCTGCACTTCGCGATAGGTGGACCTCTGCATTCGCTTAAGCTTCCGCTCGGAGATTAGACGAATTTTGTAGCGACACTAGTCTCGCTTCTTTGTGCAGTAGGGCCACAAACATGTGGAGGGGCAGACCGCATCGACCAGCGGCCCTTCTGTTCAGGCTATGATGCCAGCCCTCAATGTCACTGTTTGTTCTGATTGATTGCATAAATACGCCCCAGTACTTGAGGGGCTAAACTGTGCTGCGAATCCAGTTTTCCTCGATGTAACTGACGAACTGCTGTAAAGGCTCCGTCTTGGCTTCTGGTTTTAGGCTGTCGAAGGTTGCAGCAATGGTCTCATGCGGGAGGGAAGGTAGTGCCATCATTCGCCTGATGTAACCATTCGTAGCCCGGTCTCTCATATACACAGTCTGAAGGCTTAGCTATTGAACTTTTCTCCAAAGGGCCTGGTTCCAGTGGAAGACACACCCCAACAACTGCACTTCTGGAAGGACTTTTCGAAATGCTCCCCACACGGCGCTCTCGAAGTCAGCGGTAACCTGCTCCACGCTCGGGGTAGTTGGCAGGATCCTCAGCACCTTCTTTAACACCTTCTTGTAGTCATGCTTCCTTTTGCTGGACATCGGTACAAACAGCAGCTCCTCAGTAGCGAAGATAAGATGTCATTTTCGGCGGGTTTCGATATCTGCTCGAAGAAATCCCTCCGGGATACTAGACTCGTCCATGGTGAAGTCAAGCTCGACCAGATCTTGTGGTCGTTTCGACTGTCGGCAGCGATTGACTGCTCTAGCTAAATGTTCGAGTCTGGCTAGGGTAGGCATAGCAGCAGCAGTCTCCATTCCCTGTAGCAGTACTTGATCGACGATCGCTGATGCTAGCTGGAACAGGTCATCAGTGGCTTTTCTCTTGATGGCGGCAGTCAATTTAGCAGTCTCTGGGAGCCCAACTTCTCCCGCATGGTTGTGTTCGACTCCAACGGTAAAGCTGAATCACTGACGCCGGACAGTGGTTGGACTTGCCTCGGAAGCTACAGTGCCAGTCTGTCATCGCATTCCTCCGCCGTTTAACCGTGACAATACGAGTAACCGCGGCTGTCGAACAGTTTCTGCTGGCCTCTCTTAGATGCTCCTTCGACGACTTCAAAGGTCAGAGGCGGCGGCTGGTCATCGACTGCCTGGTCCTCGATGGTTGGCTCTCCCACAGACGATTCCTCAATTGGTACAGGTAACTCCAGTAATGGACACTGGATGGAGGGCTACTCGAGGCGGACAACATTGTAACTTCCCTCACGGTTCCCAGCTCTGTTGATAAATAACCCGCGTGTAAAAAACCTAGTCTTTAGCAACTCCTGGCAGAAATTTGCCATTCAAGTTATGCCCATAAACAATAAATCCATACTTTTAGATTTTGAAAAGACTATAATAAAACGATGATAGGGCGATCTTTGTTGACGTCATCGTTTACATTTAGCCTCAATCCAGATTTACAGAAAAAGTATTTAATAGTTCGATGTTAACACCGAAAAAAAGTGTTTTCGAGGAGCTTTTTACTTTTTACTTAAATTCCTTGCCTACAATAGAATGCGTTATTTCACAGAACAGACCAAATTACATGAGGTCGTTAATTTTTATGCGACTGAGGTCAAAAACATCAAACCGCAAACCTGCAAAACACCTTTCTTAGTTTTTGAAAAGAAAAGCTTTCAATTTTAACAATCTTTGACGCTTTGCTTGGTACCCTGTTGCGTACAAGTAGCTGTCCCTGCCTTTTTCTCCCAAAGATAACAGCGAAAATTTTAGTTACCTTCGTTCCTCGTACTCTCGAAGATAGGTAAAATAGCACGCGAGGCGGAACAAGATTCGCATTATATTTCCAAAGGATGTTTTCACCAGATCTGACCACGTCCCTGTTGTTTTCTCGTGATACTCCACTGTTGCAGGTCTTGTGCTGCCATTTATTGCACCCATCGCACAAAAGAGCTTCTTAACGCTTGTTGACGAATAGTCCATTTTGCAGTTGAGTGCTTGGTTGCCAAGCCTTTGAATGGGAGTGAGGCTAGAGATGACCTTGTTATGATACAAACCTTGCTGCCTTTCAAATGTAAATCACTTTGTTATCATGCTAACTAGATACAGGTCTCTATCACAACAAGGTCATCTTTAGCCTCACTCTGAATCAAAGGCTTGGCAACTAAGTACACAACTGTAAAATGGCCTATTCC